GGGGGGGAGGGGGAGTGGAGTCAGGAGTGTAACTGAGATTCTGTTATGAAAAGTTACAACTGTAAAATGAAAAATGGAGTTGTGTGCTAAAATGGATCGGGTTTTAAGGATATATGGGTCTTGATAATAGACTGAACAGTTTTATTAATTATTAACTAGTAGTGGTACTCGCACGCGGCCAATATTAAAAATATTAATTAAATTAAATTATTATGACTTATATAGTTATTGAATAACTTTTTTGTTCTATATTTTTTTTTTATTATTCAATATTTAGTATTTTTATATTATTAATAGTATTTTTTTAGCATATTACTTTGTTTAATATTTTTGTCTGTTCGCTTTCGTTTTGTAATATAAGAGAAGATATATATATTTTATTAATCTTATTATTTTAAATTTTATTATATTGTTATCAATAATTTTGTGTGAATTTTAATGAATAAAATCTCTATTAAATTAAAGAGACTTATATAATCATCGAATAACTTTTTTGTTATGTATTTTTTTTTATATTATCCAATATTTAATATAATTGCATTGCTAATATACTGTGTTGTTGTTGTTGTTGCATTGTTAATAGAATTTTTTATTAGCATACTACTTTGTTTAATATTTTTATCAACTACTTTCTCTTTGTAATATAATAGAAGATATATATTTTATTACTCTTGAAATATATATTTTTTTACTTCATTCCTATTGTTCTCAATAATATTATCTAAATTTTAATGAATAAAATCTCTATTAAATTAATAAGACTTATATAAACATCGAATAACTTTTTAGTTTTATATTTTTCTTCATTATATTATCCAATATTTATTAGCATATTACATTATTTAAATTTTTGTATGCTACTTTCATTTTATTAATAGAAGATACATATTGTTTTATTTTATAAATTATTCTATTATTATCAACAATATTTTTTGAATAAATAAACTTTTTATTTTTAAAGAGAAAAATAAAAATTATTTAAAAAACAAAGAAATTTTAAATTGGTAGTTTTTTATTTTTTTGGGTAATTTTAGTGTTTTTATTTTAAAATAATTTAAAAAGTCCAACTTGAAACTACTCGCCAATTTGAATGAACAATTTTTTAAAATTTTCGTTTTTTATTATAAAATATTTTATTTTATATAGATATTTTCGTTTTTTATTGTAAAATATTTTGTTTTATTATTTTATAGATATTTAAATTCAAAAATAATAACCAATAACTAATTATTTAATAAATAACTAATTATTAACTACTTATGCCATGTGGCTTTATTCTAGGCTGCCACTTGGCTTAAGGATAGTGCTTTTTCCTCTCCTTTTAATAATAATATAGATATAGATTCTTGTATGTTACTTTCATTTTATAATATAATAGAAGATAGATATTGTTTTATTTTGTATTTTATTCTATTATTCTCAATAATATTTTCTGAATGAATAAACTTTTTATTTTTAAAAAGAAAAAGAAAAATTATTAAAAGAAATTTTAAATTGGCATTTTTTTATTTTTTATAATTTTAGTTTTTTATTTTAAAATAATTTTAAAACTCCAACTTGAAACTATTCTCCAATTTGAATTGACAGTTTTTTTTCGTTTTTTATTATAAAATATTTTATTTTATTATTTTATAGATATTTAAATTTAAAAACAATAACCAATAACTAATTATTAACTAAATAACTAATTATTAACTATTTTTGTCATGTAACTTTTTTCTATGTTGTCATTTGGCTTAAGTAGAGGACTTTTTCCTTCCTTTTAATAATATATAGATTTTTTTATTTTTTTTTTGGAAAACATACTTTTTGTGGTCCGACTCTTTCCCGGACTCCGCGCCCGGACTCCGCGCATAGCGGAAGCTTAGTACCCTTTATATATTTTGCCTTCATCTTTTACCCACTTAACCCCCTCTATTCTCGTTGAATTATTATCATTGCAATTTCATTTGCTAATGTTTGAGTCTCACCGATTCTTAAGAAAACTAAAGATGATTTACCCATGAAATTCCACCACTTTGCTTCCTTCATTTTACATTTACTTATATTTCATTAGCTAGTCTTCTTCCATCGTGAGTAAACTGTTTTGGATGATAATGGCTTTAGTAGGGATAAAATACATGATCAACTAAAATAACAACATATTGTTATGCGGTACAAATGAAGGAAGCAAATAGCAAATTTACACAAGGGGCAAATTTGTTCATTTGCATATCAAAATACGACCTTTCAAACAAAACTTGATGTGCATATCTACATAAGATCTCAAAACAGTCATACGCTGGAGGGAAAACCTACACGATTTAGCATACAATCATGGCACTACCTCCTTCAGTTTCGTCATCATCATATATTAAGCTTCAGACAATGCAAACCGCCCCTTGAGTTAGCATGTTGGGGAACTTGATGACCAATGGAGTAATCTTTTTGTTCACCAAGATTGTTAATTATTAGAGAGCGGATTGAACTTCGCTCGAATCTGAATTCCATGTGTTAACCTTGTCAACTGTCTGACAAGGAAGTTGGTGATTCAAATGACTCCTGGAGTTGTTTTCATCAAATACTGGACGCACAAGCTTTCTACGCTTTGATGGCTTATCAGTTGAATCCTTAGCCACAGCAGTTTTACAACTGTTTTCTTGTGCATTCTGAAGGACCGTGTGTTCTCTGGCATTTGTTTTTTCTTCTTCATTGAATTTAGCATTAGTCTGTTCTGAAGCTCGATTTGTCTCCCTCCTGCGCTTGAAGTTCACCACTCTGGTCTCTGCGAGGACATGGTTCACAGTTTCTTCAAGAACTTCATTTGCACTTTCTCTCAGAACTCTCACCATTGAATCACCGGGCTGCTCTGCGTCATTCTTGACAACTGCAGCATGTTTTCCCGACCTATTAGTTTCACCATATCCAACTTTTCGAATAAATGGTTTCCGATTCAATGGCTTTTTTGGTACAATATTCTGATCCTCGTATAACAAGTCCATAATTTCATCAACTGACGTATCCATATAATATTCATCATAGCTCATACTGTGATCAGCTACTTGTTCTCTCAACTTGCGTACTTTAGGAGCCACAGATAAGCGATTAAACACACTTCTTCTGGAATTTCTGGAATCAGAATGTACAACATCAGTTAAAACGTTATCCTCGTATTCATTATTAACGATATCTGCTCCAGGGCTGTTGGCGTGGTCAAGATTTGTCAAAACATTTCCTTGACGGGGCAACCAACTTGAATTAGGAGACCGGGATCTTCTTCTAACATGAATTATATCACTCCCTTGCCATATAACATTCTCATCACCTAGTTCCTCATCAGCACATTGATAGTTACCAGAATAAGAATGAGCAGTTGAACTGAGGGCAGCTTGAGATGAAAATCTCCAATTCTCGCCCTCGTTAATATCATCCCTAAATTGTTGACCAATAGATTCCCTTGGAATGAAAGCAGTTCTATAACTAAAAGAACGAGACCTATTTGGTTCCATTGCCTCAGAAATTCCAACATTTACAGGTGGAGAGTTGAACCCATCGTGTGATCGAAGCAGAATCATGTGTCCATCTTCAGAAGCTGATTCCAGGCCCCTCTTCGTAAATTCTGGATAGGAATACGGAGAAGATATTCCTTTAGATGATGCATAGTTATTCTTTTTATTAACATCGGAAGAAGGTCGCTTTTGCACAAAGTTTGAACCTTGTTCAACTTCATAAGTCTCGGTATGTTCATAACAAGAACTGGGGCATTCATGCTTATGTGGCATGACTCTTGGAATTGTTGCGTCATGGAATTTAGAGCAAAAGGGACCAAGATTTTGTGCTTCTGTTGACTGAGGAAATTCTGTTTCAGCAAGAAACATGGTAGAGTACCCTGAGGTTCTTTTGTTCATTGGAGAGTAACCAGTGCGACCAGCCACGGTGAGAAGCCTCTGAAAGTTTTCTGTACCAGGGACCAGCCTATCAAAATCATTCATTGGATAACTACCAACTCCAGCCACTTGTCTACCTACATCTCCGGCATAAGCGGAGTTCCCATCTGAAGCAGCCGGGATAAGAAAGCTATCTACACATTTTTTATTTGCTCCTTTACGCCTAGAAAGGAAGCATTCATCATCATCAGTGGCCGCTTGATGATCAAATCCTCTTCCGAGACCTGTATGAAACTTAGATTCATTTCTGCTTATTTCTCTCGTGAATAATCTACCATCTTCACACATTCCTTTCTGATTGTATGGTGAGTTCACAAAGCGTTCAGACACAATTGTAGAATAAATATCAGAGTCCAAATGGCTCTTTTTTCCTACTCTATCCAAGGAACTCTGCCAGTCATCACTTACAGTTCCAATATTGCAAAAGGGGTCACTTTTATTCTTCCTAGAAAGGGCAGGCTCATGAGAGTTATCCATGCCATGTGCTTTATCCACACTATTGTTCCTTAGAAAACCTGCATAATGAGTACCAATTCTAGTTCTATCACCATCTGAAGGCTCTCTTTGCTGATTTGATCTGCCCAGACCAAAATTACCATCCATGTTATCTTCATTTACTATCTGATCTCTTACCACTAAATTTGCTTCATGTTCAGTGAGGGAGTGAATATGAAGCCTATCTTCAGCAGCAGTATCCCTCAATAACCTTCCATCATAACCTAATCTTCTCTTCTTATCATTATCGTAGAGATGTTCAGCAGAATCAATTTTTACTCTGTCCTTCACTCTATGCTCAATTAAAAACATGTCATCGTTGACTCTTTTTACTCCACGGAATGACCTTGGATATCCTCTTGAAAGGGAAGGCTCTAAATCAACATCAGAACGTTTGATATCAAAATCACCACTTGCTGCATATGAATTGTTATTGACCACTATATGGTCTTCGTCAACTCCATTGCTCACTCCAGTTGTGAGCTTTCTTGGGGGTAACTTATTCTTTAACTTTCTTGAACTAAACAACCTAAGAAGCCTATGAACCTGCTTATTGAGAAGGAACAGTTAGTAACAGAAATATTCAGCTAAAGTATATGATGATTGAAAGCCCAAATACAGAGAATAATCATCAGACCTGCTCATCAGACAGACCAAAGTGGAACTTCCTTGCCGAAAAGTAATTCTCCCTAATGGCATCGTGGAACTCATTTTCAGATAGTGGACTACAGTACCAAACCGGCACAAATCGTACCTAGGGAAGAGAACATGAAAGCAAAAATAGACCAAAATTATCCTTGTATTATTCAACCTAACAATAGTTCTTGTTGAATGTTAAGAACCATCATTTGACATATGATACCTGCGCGGAAAACTGCTTCCCTGACGAACTAAATGCATGGGGTGCAATGTTCATTTCCCCATCTGAGATAGCCCGATACACTCCAAATAGTTGTCTCCTTTCATATTCAAATAGGAACAGGATCATTCCTTTTTTGACCTCCGTTACAAAATTTGCCATGGACGATGGAAGGCCAAAGACCTTATGTTTAAAGTAGTCTCTCTTTGTTGCAATGTTTGACATGAATATTGCACCAAACTCAGGAGCAGGAACACTAATAAAACCATTCTCTTCTTTGTCAAACTCCATTGGCAAACTCTATCCTGTCACTCCAATTAAAGGCACATAATAGTAAAACAACAAACTGTGATATGTCAAACCAGCATGGAGTTTGACGGAAGACAAAGAAAAGGTATCTTCTTCAAGGGGCAGATAGAAAAGAAGCTACTAAATCATATTTTCAAGAGAGACAAAAGGTTCAACCCTGCACTAGGAGTATGAAAAGACGGGAAGGAAACGCTTTTGCAAAGAGTTCACAGGGTAATGTTGAAAGCTCAATGGATACAGATCTAACCCAGTGCTCAACTCACAACACCCTCGACATCTTTAGGATAAGGAACATAATGTTTCCTTCCTTGCTTCTGTAATTAATTGGACAACTTTCTGGTAAGAAATTTGTCGGAACAAAACCAATTTGTTATTTGATGAATATTGCCTCCAAGTTTGTACCTTAATATCTTGTTGTTTTTATTCTGCTTTTATATGGCTTTTTGGTACTAACCCTTCTTGTCTATATTTTCATTAATGTGGTGCTTATGCTTTCCAAAGCCGAGGGTCTATTGGAAACAGCCTCTCTATCCTCACAAGGTAGGGGTAAGGTATGCGTACACACTACCCTCCCCAGACCCCACGGTGTGGGATAAGACTAGGTATGTTGTTGTTGTTGTTGTATTGCCTCCAAGTATGGATGAATATTAATCAAACTTGTGTAATAGGGGTCTATCTGACCTTAACTGGTATTACAGCCAGTTTGAAGTAGTTGGTTTTTAAATTTCTGTTCTTCGTTCATGATTCATTCATTTTAAGTTCTATTAATTTTATAATAACTATCTCAAACAAGTAAGGACCTGGAATGAATCCACAAAGGGGAGAGGGTTAAGAAGAGACAAAAGTACTATATGCCTCCATCAAGTGAAGTATTAGTGATTTATTTAGTTCTCACATACACCTGGAACTTAATTAAAAGTAAGACAATCCAAACCAGTATTCAGCCCAGAGCTCGTTCTCATTGTACGTATAAGTAACAGACAGTTCATCCATAGCCAATTGATTCCATAGGAAATACAAGTAACAAAGTAGCACCGAAAATTGATATAAAGTTTAGGGAAGAAAAGCCCCAAGTTTTTACAATTTTGTAAATTCAAATTTTCTATACAACAACAACCCAGTGTAATCACACTAGTGTGTCTGAGGAAGGTAGAGTGTACTCAGACCTTATCCTGCTGTTTCTGGTAGAAACTCTGCTCAAGATCAAATTTTCTATACACATTGAATATTTTTAATCAAGTTCAACATATACTCACTACAAATCAATAAACTGAAATTCGCAATCAGATACTCACAGCCCTAAAATACATAACAGAATAAAAACTAAAAAAAAAAACTTAAAATCTCAACCTGTAATTGCTCGTCTTTATCCAACTGTTTTGCCGCCAAATTGATGACTGCAATAGATTCCGTCGATTCTAACACAGTACTATTATCACTAAACACTCAACAAAATCATCAGATATCAAAAATCGAAAAATACCCATTAAACAACTACTAAGATTTTCCAAACCCCTTACCGTAAACCCCCAAATCAGCAATCAAACCGATTAACTTTTTTTACTTAGAGGAAATCGATTATTAATCAGCAATAGATAAATATAAGAGAATAGAGGATTCTAGAGAGAGAAAGAGAATTTACCAATGCAGAAAAAACCGGTGATTTGGGGTTTCTGAGTTGGAGCGGAACGAGGAAAATATATAGAGAGCTGCGACTCTTTGAATTGAATTGAATATGGATTAGAAAATTAGGATTTAAAGTATATGCATCAATAATATTAATAAAGTTTTCACTATTAATGTATTTTTGATCTTTTACAGATTGCTTCTTATGTTTTAAATATTATTAATTCGTATTTATACAGAGAATTATATAAAATTATTTTTTAAATGACTTGATGGTGTAAGAATTTATATCGTTAGTGCATAATACTTATACTCAATAGATATTGCTTTGTGGGGAAGCTTGTTAGCTTGAAATATTTACAATTAAAATATATTATCAAAATGTAATTCAAAATTTCTAGGAATCTTTTAGTATTCCTTTTTAGATTAATTGTAAATTTTAATCTAAATTTAAAAAAAAAATGATTGCATATATACTCTTTTCACTATTTTGATTGATTCGAGACTCGTATATAATCAATTTGATTGATCTTTTAGGTGGAACTAATTTCCATAAAAAGTGTTGAAATTTTTCTTGAAAAAACTACTTCAGTGTTTTTTTGAAAAAAAATCAAATAATAGAGTAGTTTTTCAATTTTTGTAAACACTGAAATATTTCTCTAATGACATTTGATAGGGGGGAAATGCACATTTTTAAAGAAAAGTTAAGCTTAAGATAAAATAAAAGATACAATAAAGATCAAAATTGTTTTCTCGTGCGTGAAAATTGCATAGCAAAAGATTCTAGTAGTAACTTTTAATATTTTGATTTATTTTATTACTATATGTTAATTTTGGATGGTTGTTACATATTGTATTGTATCTTATTATTATTTTAAATACGATGTTTGTTTTGATTGTTACTTAAATTTTATTGTTTCGTATCGTTAAATCTGTCGTGACGTAACGACGAAATGTGTCACTTTATGTAACGACTGATTTGGTATGGTCGCGTTGTTATCTTGTCTTTTTCTCTCATCTCACCCTTCATTATTATTAAATAATTTTATTATATCATTTACCCTGCCTTTTTATATATCAATTTTACCTCGTATCATAATTTTTCTTCATATTGTTGGTGCATGATATTATGAAACAACGCAAACGACACAATCTATTCAAATATTGTATTCATCAAATGATACAATACAATACAATACATTATGAAACGATACAGTACAACCATCCAAACAAGTTGGAATACATTTTTTTATGATTATTGAAGGAAAAAATTAAATGAGGGAAAGGGTAAAAAAGGAAATACAAATTGTAGGGGAATAGCAGTTATACATGAAGATTGAGAAGTGGCGTAGTGGATAAGTTATGGGTTATGAACTCATGGTAAAGTCGGTGGAGTGCGTGGTTACACTTACACCTTTGGGATTTTCAATATCTGTTTTTTTTTTTTCTGTTTACACATGTATGACATAATTTGAAGTTCTAGAATCCGAAGTTTTTAAATAATATACCCCCTTCATTTTATTTCAAATAGATTTTTGAAACGTGTTATAATATTTGTGTGATTATAATATTATATCATAAAAAATTATGTAATTTTTTTTAAAATTATATTATTTTTAAATATAAAAGATTATTATTTGTTCTTGAAAAGTTAAGAAAAGGTGCAGTAAATAGTAGTATAAAAACCAAGACTACTGTACAAGGTTAATTTGAATGTTTTCTCTTAGTATTTATTTTTATTTTTTTGGTGGTACAATTTGGATGCTTTCTTTTGTACTTCTCTCATTGAAAGTCATCACTATTGCTTTCTCGTGTTTTTTTTTCTCTTTTGTACAATTAAAATGTTCTTTTGTACTTCTCTCTTGTAAGTCATCGCTATTTCCTACATGCTTTCTCTTGTTTCTTTTCCTTCTTTTTTTTTGTGTACAATTTGAATGCTTTCTTTTGTACTTCTTTTTTAGTAAGTCATCACTATTTCGTACTTTACATGACATAATTTAGAGCAAAATCATTTTTTCCCTTCAAATTTGATCTAAATTTCAAACTCTTCCTCCACAATTCACCATATTTTTTTCGGGCTGGCCAATTGACCGGCACATGAGGGGCAAAAATATTCTCACACAAGCATAACGAAGCTTCTTTTTCTTCCATAAAACTTTAGCATATGCAGCACAAAGGATGCAATAATAGAGCCAAATACTCCTCTTTTTTTAAAAAAAAATTCTCATCCGGGTTCGAAAACTCGTTTCGAGCTCGATTAATTTGCATTTACACTGGTAAGTTTCATTATGGGGTTAACTTTCATTATGGGGTTAACGAGCTTCCTATCAAAGGCATTCCATTCTTATGGCTCGAAGAAGAGGATAGAATATTTACTACTCCACCGCAACTTTTAATGGTGATAAAGCCAAGTACTCGAGCTAAGTATACGAAATTGGGAAAATGTCCAGAAAAGTTCAGCATTACATAATCTACTCTTCTTTTCTGAAGACAGAATTGAGTCATGAGGAACAAGTAATTTAGAAGAACGCGTAGCAAGTAGCAGGAACTTGCACAGATTAAAGATATTTTTATTCTTAACTCTTCAGGAAAATTATGACTTGAAGAGAAGTGTCAAAATTGAAAAACTCAAGTGGTAAGTTCCGAAACTTGAATTCTTAAGTTAACGTGTGCGACTATTGTATTTACATTAGGAAACGCTGTTTTCACTTGCTTAATTATCTAGGAGATTAAGAAAAGAATATTTACTAATGTATAAAAGAATATACATTACTAATATTTACTAATGTATAAAAAAAACAGATAAATCTGAGAATAATAGACCCATGTTCATTAAACAGCTTCTGTACATGTCCTTGTAGTGCAAGATGGCTTTTGAAAATGACATGAGGAAAAAGAAAGAAAAAAAACTAATCAGTGCGCTGCCACTCACTCTTAATAATGTTATTTTTCAATTTCATAATTTTTATCTAGCAACAGGTCGAAGATATTCAATTAAGATTGACCACTTGGAAAATTCAACCCCAACTCCTCACCCCATTTTTCTTCTCTAAGAAAATCCTTAATAATCAAAGCACCAACTTGTCCAGAAGTGGTAATGGTCAACCATAATTTCAGACTAGAGATATTTAAGCCAAAATAACAATTACGTCGTCTTTCTTTTTAATCAAAGAGATTATTGCGATATTGGTTGAGTTTTTTAAATAGAAGCACCAGTAAAGCTTTTAAAATTTAATACTATTCTTTTAAAGCAGCAGACGTTAAAATGTATGCCACCTCAAAAGGAAGAAAGGAAAGAGAAGAGCTAAAAGATACAAAACCAAATCACTGTGAAGGAATTCATCAATCGAGGCTTTGTAAATGATAAATAGAATGTTTAGACTTCAAAAATTAGCTCTCAAATTTTGTAACCAAGACAAAGAAATCACGTCAAGAGCCATTTCAAAATAGCAGCAAAGTAAAAAGAGAAGACGAGGAAGAAGAAGATAAAAGGAAGGAAATGGCGGAAGAAAGCAGAGAAATCAAGCTAGCATTCTTTGTAAATGATAAACACAAAGCAAGCCACTTATCATAGATTAACTTTGTTATAACTAACAAGACATAAGGCAAGCTAAATGATCCCATATCAACGGGCTAGAGCCAGTTTTCAGTTTATACGAACTTATATCATCTTTCTTCAAGTTCGGCATTTGACAGTAACAACCTAACCAATTCCTTAGATTGCTCAGACTCCAGAGGCATCATGCATTTTGATATAGCCAAAACAGTAATAACCACCACACACGTACTGTATCACCTCCTGTATACAAAGGTGCAATGCTATTTCATAGCATATGCTGAAGCAAAAGCTCCTATTACAGCTTTCAAATTTTCCAAAATATTACTAGGTGCACTATATCAACTCAGTCGACTAGCAGGACAAAATTATAAAACTGACCAGGAAAGAGCTTCAACAGTTACTGAACTGAATCAGCTGCAGGGGCTGCGTGATGGTTTACAACCAAGGGAGGACGTAGAGCTTTGTGATCAGCTAGTTTCTCCTTACGTGCCTTGTGCATCTCTTCTGTCTCAATGACAACCAACCTTTTCACCTAAGATCAAAAGGAGAGATACAAAATATATTAATCTTCATATGGTAACTACAAAAGTTGTATATACCAGACTAGACATTTGAAGGCAAGAGAACTCATTAAACTAGTCCATATTGATAGCAAAAAACTATCAAAACCTGATGAAGCATTCCCCTAACAGTAGGCGTGTTCCACCGCATTACAGTCCGGTTGCATTTCCGCAGACGCAATGCTTCAAGGGTACGCCTATGGAGCCTCCTAGTGCCTGGAATACCCCTTACAAGGGTTATGTATAGATTAGGGCTCCATGAGATTGGAGCACAAGCTTTAAAAGCATTGTAAGCACTCATCTCTTCCTGCTTTACCGCTTCTGCTTTCCTGTAGCAGAGCAGACAAGAAACTTTTCGTTCAAAAGAAGCACTTCAATTAAGAAGAGTAAGATTTGCAGGGATGAGTCCCAAAAAGAAAAAAGTGACGAGCATCTTATTAGGAAGAGGCAGGTTAGCTGGAAATTGGAAATGTATCAGATTTGCATGATTCTGAAAAGGAAAAAAAAAACGGTAATATAATTTACAATCAGCATATTATAAAAAAATTGCGGCACTCAGAGAAATAAAATTCTCCGAATTGGAGAAAACTGCATCACAATCAACAAAAGTAAACTCATAGCTTGGAAATTGAAGTATGTGAATTGCGTAGTACTTAGGTGAAATTCTGCCCTCTGAGAAGAACTTCCATATAGCAGCCCTAAGAAGCCACCCATTGGAAACAGATAGTAATCAAACGTCTCCTCCCCCTAAAAACTTAAAATTTTTAGATTGGGCAATTCACACAATTCAACATGTCATCAGAGCAAGCAGAACTGCTAGATTCGAGTCTCACCACTACCCAAAATTACTGCACATACTTGACCCAGGAAAAAAAATCAAGTCCATCTGCGAGGGAACATATTGCAGATATATTCAAGTAAATAAAGTATCCAGTCTTTAATAGCTGATCTTTTATATGAGGTGATTCACACGATTTAACACGCATGCGAAAAGGAAACAGGGAACTGGACAACTCAAAGAGTCAAAACTACTCTTTCCTGAACAATGTACAACAAATAAAGAAGAAAACTGTGGAAACAAGACAACTCAATGTTTTTGTGTGTTTTGGATAGAAGTACAAAGGATGAATCTGTAAAAAAAACAATGCAGCAAGTCCCAAGTAAAGACATAAAACTGGATTCTAACGAGCACCCCTGAGACCCTTGAACTAGAATATTTGACTTTGAAACCCACATTTTACAATAATCACCACATACTTCAAAATTCAGAGGCAAGATAAAAGATGTGAAAGCATAAAATAATGCACCAAAACTGAGCCTTTCGGAGCTATGAACCAATGACAGGATAATCAAGCGTAAACCATTGTGATTTGTCGAATCTCTATGAGAATAATATTTTCTTATCCTATGCATTGGTTCTTTATTCAGAAGTGCTGATGCATTACTTTAAATCTTCTATCATTTATTCTGCCTTTAAGATATGTGAAGGTGGTTTTAGAACTTCGACTCTGAAAAAAGCCAATGTTTTATATACCCCCATTTCTCAGATTTAAATGCTTCATGGAAGGGCAATAACAAACTTAATTCTGCTCCTATTTATTTGAGATTTACACAGCGATTGTTTGAGTTTTTTCAAAACAATATAGACTTAGTAATAAATAGTTTTCTCATCTGTCTCAGTTTTGAACATGACAAAATGTTCAACAACTTGTTCTTGAACATTTTTTTTATAAGCTGGCTCGGAGCCTCGGACACCATGGTTATCAGAAAAAAATGTTCAAGAGCAAGTCATTGTAAACATCATTTCTCAACTATAGACACTGACTTCACCTTTTAGTTTCCTCTCATCCACTGCTATAAATACCCATCTCAGCTTTTCTTCATGACACATCAGATGATGATTTCTCACATTTCCCAAAACTTTTACTCCGGTCTTTTATATTATTTTGAGAAGAGTAGTTAGTACGACATTTCTATGACAGTTCAAAAATGCTGACTATCTGCTCTAGTCAAATTAAATAAATTGCTTCCCTGCCAGCAAAGAGAATAGTCAATATTGAGAAATTAATGCACACCATCTACCTCTACATGAGCATATATGTCGGCATTCTTTCAAGGGCAATTGAGTGAGCTTCAGCTTCAGCTACTCCTACTCCCCCCCCCCCCCAAAGGCGAGGACACCGACTCACCCAAATAAAGAATGGAAAAAACAAGTTCTCTCGAAAGTGTGCATAAATTTCTCTCAATATAAAAATGGTTGGCTAGTCACTTATCACCTGACACAAGTTTAATGCATCTCCAAATAATGCAAACAGCTATAAAGATGTGCTTTCCTCTATTACCGCATAGAAAAAAACCTAATATCGCTCAATGAAGATCTAACAATAATCCTGAAGAAACAGTTTGCTATAAGTAGAACAATGTCAAGCTCTGCTAAGTGCTCATATCAATCCGCATCACTTTAAACCAATATTCCCACTCAATCTAGGAGTCCCTTTCCTCCAGCTCACTCACTTTTTATTTTTTCTGGTCCAGTTAGACCTTGTCTAACTAAATCACAAAGCAAGCTTACGCCATAATTATTACTGGCCCACGCGAGTACATACCCAAACAATAGCATCAACTCAAAAACATCAATAACAACTTCTAAATGTAACCAAAATCAAAATTTGAAGATGATAAACTCATTGATCTCCTTACCTTAGGACCTTAGGTTCTTTATTAACCCTTATCTTACTTTCCCTACTTCCACATATCTTGTATAGGTGCGTTGAAGACTCTAATGGATGGGGTTGGACCTTTTTTCTACCCAAAATGAACCAAAAGAGAATGATTTTTTTTCTATTCTTGTAAAATAATTCATCGTTTACATAAAATCCAGAAAGCAGCTGAAAATCAAATTCAGCACAGAGCCCACTAACGAATTACATGTTTCCATTCTAATTACAATCCAAAAGTTGTCAAAATAAGCCATTTTGGAGATACCCAAAACCATAAACCGAAGTTCTATTACAAGATGCACAAATGGACTTATGGACATACACACAGACCACTATCAGTAGATGCAAATTGAACTTTGGAAATGGACTTAAAAGAAAGAGGAGAGAAAAGAGTTTTTTTAAGCTCTCGTACTAAAAAAGGAAGGGCGGTGATACGACCAAGAATTTGTTGAAGATCAAATTTGAGAACTTACTCTGCGGAACGCTCTCTCTGAAGTCTGCTCCTCTGGGAGTTTTCCAGCAATGGGCTGAGCTGAGGTTTTCCGAGTTGAGACACTTGCCTTTGCCCTATGCTGTGCTCTTTTTCTTTCATTTTTTTGAAAGAAAAAAAACTTACTTCTGTGGATTGGGCTGCAAATTTAATGGGTTAGAAAAATTGTAGAAATGACACCATGTAGCCACTTTAAGGGGTTACTATTTAGAAATTAATCAGTACGTCCTAAATTACAGTTTTTCAGCTCAATTTTTGTTCTAAATTAAAAATTTTAGTTTAAAATTTCAGAATAAAATAAGTAATGGCTAATGTCTAAATAGAATCCCTAAGAACGGCTATCTGTGCATTTGCCCCTATTTAGAACTTCTGTGGATTGGGTTGCACACATTAATGGGTTAGAAACAAAAAAAAATTGTAGAAATGATACCAGATAGCCACTCTAAAGGGTTGCTATTTAGGATTTAGCTAGTGCGTCCTGAATTAGTTTTTCAAGACAAAAATATCCTGAAGTTAAGATTTTTAATTTTAAATTTAAGAATAAAATAAGTACTGGCTAATCACTAAATAGCATTCCTGAGAATGGCTATTTTTGCACTTGCCCCAAGACTTTCTTGTTACCCTTTTGGGAAAACTACACTGTATAACTACTCTAAAAAATAATAGCCGACAAAATACTCTTTGTATATTAGTGCATGATATACAAATAATATGAGTATATATTCATATATCTATTTGTCCAAATACATCGCTAGCTCCTTAAAGTTGTCCACCCTTTTCACTTAAACACTCAATCTTAAGTTTGTTCTATTTGAACACTTTAATCAGGCTTTTACTGTGTCATTTAGATACAAAATGCTGACATGGCAAGGTGAGTGTCTCTCACATTTTTGAAGCACGTAAAAATGGTCTGAAAGACAAACCTTTCATACTTCTTGTCGGAAAATAATAGCTTTTGCCGGAAAACTTTTTCTGTAAATATTTCTTTTAAATTTTAGATCTTTCACACTATTACTATCATCTCCTCCTCCAAATCTAAGCATACTACCACCACCGCCACCTTTAAATTTGGCTACCACTATAAATTTTTTATTTTTGTTTCTCGTTTTTAAGATCCCATCAAAAACACCTTCAGATCTGAAAGTTTTGTAGGGAATCCAAATGGGTCGCAGTTTGTCGGTACTAATTATTCTGGCGAGGCAATGTCGGGTGGCATACGGTATTAGTCCAAATTTGAAAGCTACAAAGTTTCGTTAGAAGTTTTGATGTCGACAGGTGGTTGCCTCTCTGCCATGCCATCTCCATTACAACATAATTTGCCGACATGTGGTTACTCCTTTTCTGCTTCTGCTATGACAACAGCTGATTTGCACAAATAAATCGCTCATTTCCGTAGTTTTAGCCCAGAAAGGAAAAATGAAGAAGAAGAAGAAGAAGAAGAAGAAGAAAAGACCAAATTTCTGGAGAAGAAGACAGATCTGGAAAAGAAATAGCCGAAAATTAATTTTCCGGCGATGACGGGTCGTTGGGGAAGATGACGATGGGGTGGGGTGGGGTTCTGGTTTGTGTATTTATTTATTTATTAATTTTTAAAAGTTAAATCCATGTGTCCTCATTTTATTCGTCACTTTGGTATGTGAATTACACGTACCTTTTGTATTTTGCTGTCTACGAATTTTGTATCTAAATGACATAGCAAAAGGCCTGGTTAAAGTGTTCAAATGAAACAGACTTAAGATTGAGTATTTAAGTGAAAATGGTGGACAACTTTAAGGGTCTGGCGATATATTCGGCCTATCTATTTTGTATGTTTGGCTAGCAAATATTATTATTTATAGTTGACCGGCCAAATATGTAACCAGTATTTTAAAAGGTGTTTTCTAGGCGAGCCCTGTAGCAGAGCATACCAGAAATACACAAAGGCATACTGTCGGGGTGTAAGTAAGTATCGTGGGGCATAAGCCCTGACATTTCGGGCATTCACTTAGGTGTAAGTCCCAACGTTCTTGACGTTTATTTGGGGCGTAAACCCTGAGAACTTTTTCAAACTTGAGCACTAATTGCTTAATAAATCTTTTTTTTAAAACTTAAACATCCAAAAATTAACTCACGATAAATTTCAAACTAAAAATTTCAAAAGCCAAAGGTTTTTTCTAATTGTTTACTTCAATTTCATAATCTTTACTCTTTGCCATTTATTACTGCGAAATGAATATTTTTAGATCTTTGCCTGCAAGGTGCAAATAACAAAGCAAAGAGTTTTGCCCTTTAGTTCTTACTATGCTTCTACGCTTTTCCTTGTTTATGCTTCATTTATTATTATTATTATTATATTTTGCATTCTTTAATTTATTAATTTAAGTTAGTTTTTTTAATTTAGAATCTCTTTTGATGTCGCTCTAGTTTAGATATTGTATTGATGATATAGGTGTAATGCATCGTCTTTCATTTTTTCAAGTTAAAAAAAAATGTTGTATGGTTCATGCACATGTTAACATGTTTAATAGATATATATTTCTTCCCTTTAGTTTTATAATTTTATTGAATTTTTTTATATTCTTAATGTATTTTTCTTATTTATATAATAACTTTATTAATTTATATAATATAAAAAATTAAATACTAATAGGCTTAGCGTCTCAGGACGTTCGCTTCGCCGTTATTAGGTAAAATGCCTCGTCTCTGGCCCATACTTTTTAAAACACTATGAGCCCGTTTGGACATAAGAAAATTTTTTTTTTTTCCATTTTTTTTTACTTTTTTCCGAAATTAGCGTTTGTTCATAAAATTTTCAATTTTCGTTTGAAGATGCATTTTGGAAATTTTCGAAAATTTGAAAAACTCCAAAAAGTTATTTGTCAAAATTCACTTACAAAACTTCAAAATAACCCAAAATTATATTCATGTCCAAAAAAACTCTAAATTTCAAATACCATTTTCATTTAAAAATTTTTTTTTCCCTATTTTAAAATTTTACAATTCTTAGGTCCAAACGCCGGCTACGTGTAACTTGCCTTTTTTTGGGCCAAGTTAGGAATCTTGGCCCAGTTTGGCTCAACCAGGACTCTTGTCAATTCCTAATTTCTAATTTAGACGTGACCTACTCTCTTGATGTAACAATACGTAGTTTTAAATTTTTAAGTAGTTTAATATATATAAAATCGGCTTTAAAAATATAAGTTGTTGAAGTATCTTTATGGTTTCAAAATATAAGTTATGGTCGACTTTATGAACCGTTTAATCACAACTTGTGCTACTAAAAAGACTTTAGACTTGTCGCTAATATTTTAAGGTTTTGTGTTATAATAAATGCTTTTTACCCTTTTCTATGACGGTGGTATTCCGGCCAATTTATGCATATTTCCACTATTCCGCCGAGTACACTTTTACTAGACTTGGTGAGATAGGAGTACATTAAATTTATTTTACCTATGTGTATTCTTTAGGGGTGGCGTTGGGGCACCGTAGGGGTGGGGTGGGGATGGGGTTAAGATGATGGTTGGCCAAGATATGTTTGTCTGCATGCGTAGTACTATAGATATTTACGACTTACGAGGTACCCGATTATCTTCTAGTATACCAAAAACCAAACAGAGTGCTTAATTGCTTGTAACATATATATGTTGGTTTTACAGAAGAAGTGAAGGACATAGAGCTGAGGCCCTGGTTTTATCTTCATATGCATTCATGTAACTTCTCTTCTCCCTGCTAATCTCTTGTGGCATTCAATCTTGCACTTACCTACGCAAATTATCTTTTCTTGAAATTTGATTTGTACTTTGTATTGTTTGTCTTTCATTCTTAGATAGTTTCTTCAGCTCTGCAGTAGAAAAATGTAAGATATTCTGGATGAGTGCATGTGTCCGCATTTGGTAATAATTTCATGGTTTCTGTAAAATATGATTTCAACTAGAAAATAGGATAAAAAAAGATAAGGTAAGACAGCCTGGGATTACATCTCAAGTGTTTCAGCTCTCTTATCTTGATTGATATTATTTTAAAGTAAATTTACATTTGAAAAAAAATAAATTAGCTTGAGTAGTCAAGTTAGAGAAATAATGGTTGTAATCGTTTGCCTCTTCTATTTTCACTTCATGTACTGTAGGTGTTTGTGAAATGAACCCTTATAGTGCAATTTTAGTGTTGAAAAAGGCAGAAACTCTTCTCTGTCACTCTGCCCGACTACAATAATTTCCATCTTGCAGCAAAAAAAAAAAATATTATGACGGCGGAGTCCAGGCCAGCGTGGCTGATAGCTCGACTATTACACTGGGTACCTACTACCTCCATCAACATGGGCACTTGCAGCGATTTTCTTTCCTTCTTCATCTTCAGTAATACCTCTCAATGGCCAATTTGACCGGATTAATTCTTCAATCCTATTCTATTAGCAGTCTTTTTTGCTTGTCAAAAGGACACCTGAAAAAATGTTTGTTTAGTTTTGTTTAGATTTTTTTAACTACATATTTTTAGGAAATGTTAATTTGATTGTGTCTTTGTAGTGATATATCAGGAGCGTAGGACTACTAAGTAGTTTTTCTTCTTCTGAGCTATTGTAGGTTGGTCTCTAAATGCCCATTGAATCATATCCTTTTTGAACCAAGAATCAGTAAAGGTGGATTCAGATGGAAAGCAAAGGACTCCAATAATGTCTCCACTGAGAAGTGGAAGCAAGATAGCAGTTTCATTGATAGACGCGGCAGATTTAGACACTTTGATCACAAAAAAGTTTCAAGGAAAAGATGTACGTTGATGTATAATGGCAGTAGTTTCATATCTGTGTTTCTTCCTCCCGATGCCAAATTCATGACTATCGTGCAGGTGGTTCTTTAAGGGGTAGAGGTTGGAAATATGGATCTGGTTTTGTTGATGGTATATTCCCAGTTCTAAGCCCAATTGCTCAGCAAATTCTAACTTTTGTAAAGAAGGAAAGTGATCCAGAGAGGATTTGGTCTTCCTTGGATACTCTACGTCCAACCAATGACACTTGGGATGATATAATTAATGTAGCAGTTCAACTTCGAATCAACAAACAATGGGATCTGATCATACTGGTAAAGATCATCTTGTGTCTGTTGCTCCATTTATTCATATTCTGGCATTGTTCAATTGTCCATG